GAACAACTATAAAAAAACTACTTTTTTTCCAAGTCGGCGAGTTCTTGAGGGGCGTTCACGTTGACGGCTAGAACGGGCAGTTAGTGTGATTTGGAGACAGAACTCAGGAAGGAAATCGACTCAAGTTTGAAATACCAGTTGGGAGAGCTTGAATTTACTTGGTTACTGTTTTTCTTCATTCGCCTCAAGCTATTTCGCATATTGATTCTTCAAAATGGAAGGCAAAGTCTTTGACGTCCGTTTGATTCAAATTCAAAACGGATATGCCCATTGTTGAATGGATAGAAAATGTGGAATTGGTCTGCGAACTTTGTGCCATGGACAAGATCGAAGCATCTTGCCTTTACGACTTCGGCGGTGCCCTCGCTGTATATAGACAACTCAGTGGAGAGCAGAGGGCAGACGCGAACAAATTAAACGGGCCCTTTGACTGCATACGCGACTGACAAATTTAATGCGTTCGACCAATTTATGGACGGCGTCTTCGCCCAGGGGAAACTGTGGATGAATTCCTGGCTGAAATGCATCGTTTAGGCGCGGCTAGTAGGAGAACCGCTACCTGATCGGTGGATGGCATGTGCATTTGTGTCCAGGACTGCCACATCATGTTAGGCAGCTTCTCAAAGCTTCTTCCAGGATGGACGACATGAATCTAGAACAGATTCTGACCCGAGCAAGGGCTATTATGACGGATGACGAAGGGTGCCAGGTATTGGCCGCCACATCCAGAGAAACCAACGCTCAGAAGCTGAGGTTCCCCTGCCAAACCTGTTAGCAGAACGATTACCTGCTACAAGTGCTCTGGACCCAACCATATGGCGAAAGAATTGTACACAAGGACGTCAGGAGAGGTCAAACAGAACGCAGAGGTCTGGTCGCGACAAGCGGTGTTTTTTTTCGATGCAACGCATCGGACACATTTCCTCAGAATGCCAGGGAAGCGCCCAAGGGAGAAAGGCGTCAGCGCCAGCCTTCTCCCGAACAAATAAAAAACCGGAAGCTACCCACCGTGCAAGTATTTGTAGATGGAGTAGAGTGCACAGCTCTAGTGGATTGGGATGCTCACAGACTCTGGTGAGCAAGACTGTGTGTCGCTGCTGGAAGCAGGAAGAGGTGGGAGTGTTGACTGCCGACGGAAGACCCTGAAGTGCCGTGGATACGGTAAAATTAAGTTGGGCGTCGAGCATATTCAGCCCGTGACTGTTGAGGTTCTGGTCAGTTGCTGATCTTCTTCGGGATTGATGCAATCAAAGTGCTCGGAGGTGTTTACTTGACCGAATCAGGCGGCTTCGTTTGTGTGCCGCCATTGTTATCAACAAGCCTGACTTTAGAGTGACGTTTAACCCGAGCACAAAAAACGTGGACTGCATTGTGGAAGTGGGCGGTGGTCATTCACCTAGCAAGTTGGTCAATAAAGTACAGGAGTACACAGTACCTGGCCACGTCCGGGATGCATACGATGAAGAACTAACACGGTGGCAGCGAGACGGATGGCTACTGCCATATCCTGAGAAAAAGCTTGGCCACCCAAAGGATTAATTCCCTTAATGGCGGTCGTACAAGAACACAAACAGAAGGTCCGACCGGTGCTGACGACTATCGGGAGTTGAGCGGCTTTGTAGAGCGCATTCATGGCTGACCTTGAGGTGTTTACGAAATGGCGTGACGTCTCGCTGTTGGATTTGAGAAAAATGCGTTACAGATTCACATTGACAAATCGTGTGGTCATTAAGGGCAAGCGTTTTTTGCCTTTACGCGTTTGGGTTTGGCCTGAATGTGGCACCTTTTGTCATGAAGTCAGTGATCGACATGATAACGTCCCAGGATCAGGACATTAAGAGTGCCACGCCGGTTTGTCTATCTTCATAAATGAAGGCCTAGTTTCTGCAGCGCTGTAAGACAGCACTTTGCAGATTACGGGCTAGTCTGTAAAGATCCGGAGCGATTGAGAGACGGAACTGTCTCCCCTTGGAAGGGGGGAGGTCAAGTTCCAGAAATTGCTCAAAAGGTGACCCGAAGCGTATTTTTTCCTTGTCTTGGAAACTTGTGGGTCATTTCCCTGTGTGCGTTGGCTTAGGTTGCAACTGCATTTATTAAGATGGGACGACGAGATAAAGGATGCCCCTCTTGGGGCGTATGCTGGAGGAAACAGTGGCCAGAGTGCGGGGAATCAGATCCTGTCGGCGGAGACTGTGTGAAACGCAATGAAATGACAGTTTGGGTGGATGCAAGCTCCGCGGGCCACGGAGTAATTAGAGGTGAATGGGGCGTCGTGGAAGATGCTTGCTGGTTCGTCCAACCAATGATGCCAAACACATTAATCTTGCTGAGCTTGATGTCAAGGGCGTGAATCTTGCCCTGCAGTGGCAGGCACCAGTTATTGTGGTCACCGATTCAGCATGTGTGCATCGGTGGGTGTCTGACACCCTGACAGGAAGGACGCCGTGAACACGAAGGCAGCGGGTCTGATGAGGCGGCGCTTAGAGACACTGTGTTTGGTGGAGGAGTACGCACTGACTATGACTGTGACGTTGGTGAAATCTTGTCAGAACGGCTGACAGCCTCACCAGAGTGCCGCAACGCTGGTTGGAGATGCACAAGAAAGGAGGAGAACCGGTGCAAGTGAGTTGTGTCACTGCAACGAGCCAGTTGAGCAAACGTCAGGTGACCCACATCCACCAGCAGAGTGGGCACCCAGGTGTTAAAAGAACAATGTACTTTGCTAGGACTGTAGATCCAACGGTGTCTAAGGAACTGGTAAAATCTGTCGTTAGAACCTGTGAAGCCTGCCAATCGATCGATCCAGCACCAGTGCATTGGAAGAAAGGAAATTTGAGTGTGAGAAAAACTGGAGCAGGTTAGCAATGGACGTAACCCATTGCAATGGTAGCCATTTTCTTACGCTCATTGACTGTGGTCCCTCCCGTTTTGCAGTATGGCGGCCACTGAGACGGCAAGACTCTGCTGGTGTCATTAATTGAGACAGTCTTCTGACGAGGCCCGCCGACGAAATACTGACTGACAATGACACCACGTTCACTTGCAGACAATTTAGTTTGTAAACAGCTGGGGCGTGCATTTGAGGTTCGTGCGCTTACGTGCCTCTGGAAATGGCATTGTGGAACGCCCACAGAAAGCGTCAAAACCATAGCGGCCAGGAAAAATTGTTCAGTCTTGGAAGCGGTTTACTGGCATAAATTTTTCACCTTCCACGGCACCGGCTGATGTACTGCACACATACCACGTCCGGGTGAGAGGCATCGACGCGACGCCCCCTGAATCACAAATAACCCGAGGGGAATACAAGGAAGGGACATTGTCTGGTTAAGACTCCACGTGGTAAATGCAAACCAAATTTGGAACCGGACGTGTGACCGAGGTGGTGAGTCAGCAGTCAGTGCGGGTCGATGGAACATACTCGTCATGTTAGAGACCTCGCCCTTTTTTGGGCTGAACAACTGCCGAAGAAGACACGGAGGATAGTGAACAGCCAATATACATAGAGTTGGATTCAACAACCAATCACTCCGATAAGCGGTGGTTTGCCAATAGATCGGGGCGTGTCTAATGAGAGCTCCTCTGATGAAGAATTCAACCAATCCCCTTCGAGGAGCACCGGAACAAAAGACCGTATCCTCACTGTCATCTGTGTGATCCGGAGATCAGGGGGTGTGTGAGACAGAACCTGGGACGAGCACAACTGGTGTCTTGCGACTTGCCTTGTCCCATAAAAAAAGAGCCCGTATTTGCTTAGCATGTAAAGCTACTGCAGTTGAAATGAGGGAGAGAAAAAAAAAGCACTTACCGCTCTGACGTAATCCATCCTCGGCCAGATAACATAAAAGAATGAGGGGGGGACTGGCATCGATTTTTTATCCAATAACGATGCAATGCATTATGGGACATGGACGCAATGCATTATGGGACATGGGCGCAAATGAATTATGGGATCACAGGAAGGCGCAAGGGATTATGGGTACATGAACAACTATAAAAACAACTACTTTTTTCCAAGTGGCGAGTTCTTGAGGGACGTTCACGGTTGACGGCTAGAACGGGCAGTTAGTGTGATTTGGAGACAGAACTCAGGAAGGAACGACTCAAGTTTGAAATACCAGTTAGGAGAGCTTGAATTTACTCGCTGGTTACTGTTTTCTTCATTCGCCTCAGTCTGTCTGTCTTTTTGTCTGTCTGTCTTTTTGTGTGTGTGTCTTTTTGTGTGTGTGTCTTTTTGTGTGTGTGTCTTTTTGTGTGTGTGTCTGTCTGTGTGTGTGTGTGTCTGTGTGTGTCTGTCTGTGTGTGTGTCTGTCTGTGTGTGTGTCTGTCTGTGTGTGTGTCTGTCTGTGTGTCTTTTTGTGTGTGTGTGTGTGTGTCTGTCTTTTTGTGTGTGTGTCTGTGTGTCTGTCTTTTTGTGTGTGTGTGTCTGTCTGTCTTTTTGTGTGTGTGTGTCTGTCTGTCTGTCTTTTTGTGTGTTCCTTTGTGGGCAGGCGGATGTCCTTATTTGTTTGTGTGTGTGTGTGTGTGTGTCCCTGATTTCCTTGTGTATGCAGATGTCCCATGTCCTTGTTATTTGTGTGTGTACACTGATATCTCGTGTCCTTGTTTGTGGATGTCCCATGTCCTCGTTATATTTGTGTGTGTGTGCACATGGATATCCCATGTTCTTGTTGCATGTGTGTGTGTGGATGTCCCATGTCCTCTTTTCTTTGTGTGTATATAACTTGTCTTATTTTCTGAGTGTGTCACTTGTACTTTTTGTGTGTGCATATCTCATGTCAACTATTTTTTTTTTTTTGTGTGCGTCTGTCTCATTTCATTTTTGCGTCTACCTTTCATACTTAGAAAAAAAATTAATCTTCATAATGCCTATTTTTCATTTATTTTTTTTTTTTTGTGTGTGCGTGTGCATGTGTGTGCCTTCATCAGGTGAAAGTCATTCCCACCTGGATGTGTCTGAATCATCAAGCACCATTACCAATGATGACACAAGTCCTCCACTAATGGGTGGTGCAGGATATGATGGGGACACAAGCCCGGCAGGTGGCCGGGAGCAACCAGGCCAGTACCACTTGCTCAAGGAACATGAAAACACCTCTCCAAGCAGCCCAAGCACTGATGAACTGGATTTAAAAAACACTGGAGCAATCCCCAAACAGTTTTCTTTTAAGCAGACCCCACAACAGCAGTCACAAAATGTCTCCAGCAGTCCTTCAGGTATGTTCCTGTCTCATTAAGGAAGTTGCTGTGAATGATGGAAATTGAATTTCTTTTTCTTGAACTTTGTATCATATTGTAAACAAGACTTATAAAGACAAAATGATCGCATTAACTTATGACGAAGGAATGTTTTCAAATAGTAAACCTGAAAATCATCTCTAGAACTTTACAATGACTTCAGAAGATCAACTTATCAGGAGTTTGAGTTAAGATTAAATTATATACCCCCCCCCAAATTACAAAATGAAAGTTGAATTTATATAAATGTTATTTTAGTTGAATTTTTTCATAGGATTTTTCCCCATCTCTTCATACATATATACATACACAAACACTTGAGGTAATTGAATGAAATAAATGGAAAAAATGGATTCCTTCAGACTAAATAGCTATGACTAGCAGTAGAGCCTGGCGTTGCTCGGGGATGTAACAGTAAGAGATAGATCAAGTATCGACCATCATAAAGACTGAAAAATAAAATTGACAAAGATTATTGTTTAAGGTTGACGGAAACGCATGTCTTAATTAGTTTTTTTTTTTTTTTACGAATTGGTTAAACTCAAACAAAAACATTGTTTTCAATCGTTATGAGTCTACCAATTGAATAGAATTTTATTATAAACAATTGTGTTGTAAATGGAATTTTTAAAGCATTCTGAATGTAAAAATAAAGAAAAAAGTGTGCAAGACAATAAGAAACACTACCTGCTAAAAAAAAAAAAAAAAAGAAGTGAAGTTTTGTTGAAATCAGTTGAAAAATGTAGGAAATCCGATCCCATATATAAACGAACACACACACACACACACACACAATCTGGGTTTTTATAATAAGTATAAATCGATATGAGTTGTCCCCCTTTTATTCTCGAAACAGCGATGCTTCTTAATCGTGTTTTCAAATTGATTTCATGCAAAAACAATTGTGTTTTTCCAATTTTTGGGGCTGTCAGAACCATCGCAAAGGTAATTTTACATAGTCCTGTGAAGTTTTGTTGAAATCGGTTGAAAAATGTAGGAAATACGATCCAATATATAAACGAACAGACACACACACACAACCTGGGTTTTATAATAAGTATGATTGACAGATGTCATATTTTGTTTCTCCCCATTTGATCAGGAGGGGGTCCTATGTGCTGGTCAAAGGCATGTCAGATTGAATGACTGTTTCCCCAAGGGGATGTGGGTTTGAATCCTGCTTGAAGATGCATATTTTTCCAACAAGATTTCTCAAATATTCAAGCTGGTAGATGTAAATAAATAAATATACTGTTTAATGAATAAATAAATAAAAAGCGGCATCTACTCAAATATAAGTATCCATTTAAAAAAATAATGTTTAAACAAATAAATTAAAAATCTGTCTGGAGTCAAAAGTCTGAAAGTATAGAAATACATTATTATAGTAAAATAAATCTTGCCACAATCTGTATGGCAGTAGGCAACACTGGCAGTTGTTGACAAACAGATGTCCTGGTACAGTTGCCATAGTGGTTTGGTGGATGATCCATCCCATGTGGACAAGAGTGAGGTACACATCCCAGATGTGAGAACAGCAGCTTTCTCAAATACCACAAAGATTTGAGTTGGAATGATAGCAAGGATAGGTAAACTTTGAAACCAATAATATGGTTGATTTTCTGTGACAGCGAGTCGACTGCTGCCTACTCAAATCACTGGAAAACTTGCAGCAGTATAATCAAAGATCCAGATAAGAAAAGAAATAAAATTAATCCATTACCTAAAAAACTGATTCATCAGTGAAAACATTGAGTCTGAAGAAGTCCTTTTGTAGAATGAAACGTGTCACATAGGATATTTTTTTTTTATTCACTTACCAACGATCAGTCTGATATAGTCTATATATATATAATCATATTCTCCCATATAAAATAACTTAAATAGCCAGTAATAAATGATAACTAGTGAGGACAAATGATATTTGGTTGGAAGTTTCTGTCTACAACCTTATGTAAATAGTTCCACTTAGAGTGAGGCAGAGATGAGCCATCCATTCAACCAATCATGTTGGTAGCACTTAGTTGACAGAAATAAGAGGAGGAAAAGGACCCCATGTGCCAGCTGTGTACTGTCAGAGAGAATACTAGGTCCATCCTGGAATGCCAGTGAATAAAATACAAAATTATTGACAATCCAGATTTGTTTGTTTTTGTTATTTTTTTGCCATAATGTTGATTTCATTTTCTGTTCCTTGTGAACATGCCTTTCCAAGTTTTGTCCTCACTAATGTGACCCAGAAGTGAATCAGGTGAGGGGACCTATTGTATGTTTATACTTCATGAGCTTTGTACTGACTATAAGAGTTGTATACCAAAACAAATGATATAGCTGAACATTGAAGTAGATTAGTAAATGACTGTTAGAACTGCTCCTCACTGCAGATTTGTTTGAATGTGCAGTTGGTACAATAGATAGTGGCTCAGAATGTAAAATTGGGGAGCTGAGTTCAAATTCTAGCTGAGTTCATTACATTTGCTTACTTGAAAATACCTTTGGGGAAATGTATGAATCAATCTCTTCTCCCTGCTATAGGTTAAACTGTAGAAAATATCTGGAAAATCATAGTCTCCAAAAAATCTTTGTTATATTCACCTGGCAAAAAGAAAAAAAAATATAAATAAATTTGAATTATTCTTGCAATTCAAAATATGTTTAGGCTTTAAATAACCCACAAAAGGTTGATAAACCATAAAAAAAAGCAAATAATTTGATTTGATCTGTTAAACAAGTAGTTCTGAAATGAAAATTATCCCAAGTATCCAGCAATAAAGTCTCAGATCAACAGGTTAATTCCATAGATTGAACATTAGAAAATTCCCATTAGAATTCAGGTAATAATTATGTGTCTGTCTATGGACCTATTAATGCACCCTTATAGAGCATCACAGTAAGGAATTTAGAATGGCCATATTTTTTTGCGTTAATGTTATGACTGCAAAATCTTGTCGGAATTAAAGATTTTTTCAAGATGACTTAATTCTAAGTTAAGTTTGAAAAATTTTTAAAACCTTTTCTGATTACAGCATAAGGCTATTGATCTTGCAAAAGCAAATTAACAATATGATACATGATTGTTTTGGAAAAAGAAAAAAAAATCTCCAAGTGTGGATAATGTGTCTCTGGTGAGTTTGGTTTGTGATTATTTGATTGGATAAGCAATTTTTTTTTTTACTTTGTTTCTTCTTTTTTTTTTTTTTTTTCATCTGGTTTGAATGTTTCATTATTTCCTTCCTTTTCTTTTCTTTTTCTTTTTTTTTATTTGCATCATCAAATGGGAATTTTATTTATTTTTTTAATTATTTGCTTTTTATTTGCCTCAAGCAAAATTATTCAATTTTACAGTAATTATTGAATGTGTGCTTCAGACCATGTTAATTTTGGTCAATCATTTTAACTTTTTGATTAAAGATTTGCAATCATTTTTTTTGTTTGTAAGCTCTATTTTTGTTTTTGTTTTCCACCAAATGTTTTATAAGTATTATTTTATTTATTTTTAACTTTACTTTTTCAGTGATTTTATTTTATTTTTTAATTTGAATTTCATTTCAGATTTTTTTTTTAATAAAGAAAACTAAATTAGTGTCACTTTTTCTTCTGATTCAAGTGTCATTATTATTTTTCGTTAATTTTTAAATCTTAGCCTCATCTATTTACTTATTTATTGGTTAATTATCCTTCCTCTTGGAATTTTTTCTTGTTCTATCAGCACCATGTTCTCTTTTGCTTTTGAATTAGTTACTTTAAGCAGTTTCTTGGTTCTGACTGAAGTAATTTTTGAATGGACAAAAAGTAATTCTGGGAAGTATACTTGTATGTATTTAAAATAAGATTAAAAAATATTGAAGATGAAACAAAGTATTATGTTTCTCCTCTCCCATGAAGCAATCTACACACACATACACACAGTTTTTTCCAAAAATTTGATATCATTTGAGATGTAAATATCTGAGTAACTCTATAGGAAACAAGCTTATTGTTGAGCAATCTGGATTTTCAGACTGGATGTCTTGGGGCCTCGCAAAAATGTTTCCCTGAATCCATTTGACTACCTCTTCCAATATGGGTGGTTATCCAGATTCTTTTGCCCTCCACAGACAGCCTTTCTCTTGGAATCTTTTGTGACACATCCAAATCTGCATTGCAGTTGGTGCATTTTAGCAAATTCTCATAAAAATGCACACTTTACAGCCTTGTTAGACTTGGTTCAAACATAATCTAACACAGAAAACAGTTTTTCTTTTCCAGTGAATGACATTTCTATACTGAGAAGAGAAAAAAAAAATTAAACATAGAATTTTGAGCTTTTTACACATGCAGTTAAAATTTGAGATCATTTGAACAAGAATTGGTCAAGTTATAAGATTATGAAATTATATCAGTTTTTCTGAAACACCCTGTGTATGTATGTATGTATGGTGTGATGGGTAAATTGTCACCATTTTATATTTTTAATTTTACACATGTGTATTGTTTGTTTTTGTCAACTGCACAGTATAGTAGGGTCAGTTGGGCACCGTCTGTGAGAAAAAGAGCACCATGATGCAATTCACTCCACCAAAAATTATGTTATGCCTCTTCATCATCCCACAGGTCGTCAGACTAAATACGGAGACCTACATCAAGGGCCTTGAATAGGTAGTGCTACTCTGGGTCAAGAGGGTGGCTGCTGGAAGACCCTATATCTGGCAAAAGCACTCTGCACTATATCACAGAAGTGGGAGAACCCAGCTGTCAGATAATTTCTGTGATCACATCACCCCTAACATCTGACTACCTAACTCCCCAGACTGCAACCCCTTGATTATTATATATGGGGTGCAGTTGAGCGAGAGACCAACAAAACTCCTGAAGACCTTGATTATGGTAGCATTCACCAACTTAAACAAGGACTGTCCAGAAAAATTGCAGGAGATTCCATAGTTGTCTAGAGGGTGTGGTTGAAGCCAATGGTGGTTTCATTGAATAAATTTGCTCTT